TTGCTAAATAAAATAAATTTATTATTAATATTCTGTTTTATTTTAAAGGCAAGGTTTTGCATTATAATCAAAGATGTCCCAACTGATGATTTATTCCAAAGAATCGCGGACGTCCGACAAAAGATCCGTGCACTACCAAATGCGCCGAAAAATTTTCCAGTATTCACTTCAGATCTCGGTTCAAATGTTGGTGATGCATTTGTTAGCGCCGTTGACGCAGTTTTCGCGAATGTCCATCCCTATTTTGCCGGTGTTACGGCTCAAGAAGGAACTAATTGGACTCTTAAATATTTCGATGAAAACGACGTGGTATTTGCAAATAAACAGAATAAACCTGCCGTAATTGCAGAAGTTGGATGGCCAACTCAGGGAGCTTCGAACAATGCGTCCGTCGCATCAATACCAAACTTACAAACTTTTATCTCGCAATTTATTTGTAGTGCAAATGCTCAACAATACAAATATTATTATTTTGAGACATTTGATACTCCATGGAAAACACAAAGATTTACCGTATTGGAAGGAAGCTGGGGATTATTTTATCCAGATCGTACGTTGAAACCTGGTCTTACATTACCTGATTGCGCCCCAACTGCTCCCGGTTTAAGCAATTAGAAGTTTCATTTTGCTATAACACAATGCGTGCCATTCAATTTTTTGCAGTGCAACGAAAAATTCGTATTTAAGCATGCAGCATAATTAGTAATGTAATTTGAAATCCTAATTTATTTTAATAATAGAAAGCAAGATTATACTGTACTTTAGAATATCCAGACTCTGCTGATTTTAAATACCATTCGAACGCTTTTCTTTCATCTTTAATTGTTCCTTTTCCATTTGCATAACAGATAAAAGAAAAGCTTGCTATATAGTTTGTATATATAATGATAGTATGTAGATACACTAAATATGAATCTTTCATATGCTTAATTAACTGTCTTCTTATATGTCAATTTTACGCGTTTCCAAATTGCTGTTATAAAGTGTACGAAAATTCAATGGCTCTCTTTTTTGCCTACCAAGCATCCAAACAGCATGGAGTTTCCTCCCGAACTTTTCGTCGTCGCTGGTAACCCTCATGGACGTATAAAGGTAGAGTACACTTAAACTGGAATACGTCAAAGAAGATAGCCAGATGATTTATCGATCGCTAATTACTTTGATGACATTATGCTTATCATTATAACTTGGCATCAAGTTGCTCCTTAACATTATAGTTTGAAACAACTGATTTCTATCCGTTATAACAGTTATTCTCTGGGTTAAATAATGAGAATATTTTATCTCGTATGTAAATTTAAATGTTAATTTGCTTCGAATTGTTATAAACAAATTTTTCTTGTTTTAGAATCCTTTTGCTAGGGGTGCCGCCCAACATCCCGACACCCAACGTCCCGAAGTTCCAACATCCCGACACCCAAGTCCCAAAGTTCCAACATCCCGACACCCAACGTCCCGAAGTTCCAACATCCCGACACCCAACGTCCCAAAGTTCCAACATCCCGACACCCAACGTCCCAAAGTTCCAACATCCCGACAATCCAGCATCCCGACAACCCAACTTCCCGACAAAAGCCAACTTCCATGAAGATCCGTTTCTATCTTATAACACACCGAGATTTACGTTAACTTTTTATTATATCGATATGTAATTTACGTTCAATTCCTAAATCAGTTAGTTATTAACGAATTAAAAATGGATCTTATACAGTAGATAAGTAATATTCTAAGTCGATTGTGGGTTTGCAGCGATTTCATTTTTTGTTAATCATTAAGAATTGATCGTCAAAAAAATGAATCAGTTGCAATATCTTGATCAGTTTCGAACAAAAATATTACATTCTATTCCTCTTGACTAGACGAATCAAACGGTAATATTTTTGTTCGAAACTGATCACTGGATATTGAGATATTGCATCATTAAACTGACCGATTCATTTTTGCTGATATCAAAAAAATTAATTGATCACTTTAGGACGCAATATCTTGACGTCTAGTGATTAGTTTCGAACAGAAATATTACCATACGATTCGTCTCAACTAGAAAAATCAAATGGTAATATTTCTGTTCGAAACTGATCACTGGATGTCAATAATCGGATCATTGAATATCAAGCTATGTGTCATAAAATGACCGATTATATTTGAGGTGTGGTAGTTTGGTGAACATATATAGAGTTTTACCAGCATAGATAATTAGTATTTGTGTTTCTTTGTGCGCGGAAAATTTCATAACATTACACATGATTTTTGGAAAGTTGCCGGGGGTCTGTTACTTATGACGATGGCTGTATATACAGTATATGTAGTTCATAATTGGTTTTTCCCTTGAAAATCGATTTTTCGCCATTACATGAACATGTATCTAGTGCGCTATTGCTATAACAATAGGATAAATTGCATTTAAAATGTAAGTTTGCCATCTACACGTGATGAATTCAAACTAAATGACGACCATTTTTAACAGTTACTTTTTTGCAATTTTGGATCATAAGCTCATCTTTATAACACAAAAATGAATTTTTCATATGAATTAGTGCTGATAGAGGATTCATTAGCCAAAAGAACGCGTCATTAATCTTTGGTCCAATTTAGCCCAGTTTTACAGTATGATTCGATCTGTTTTATTAATCCCTGGTTTTATGTGCAATATAGGATTCCATTTTCTTAAAACATCTATCAAAAAAAAATTCTTTCTTTAAAATAACCACAATTTTGGATCAATTTTATTCGTTTAATCCAGTTTTCGACTGGCAGCTGATCGTTCAAAGACGCGTGCAATTTTTGCAGCAAACATGCCGAGTACCTCGACAGTCCATTAATAAAAACTTTGTTGAAACCATTTTAGATACAATTTGAATCTCGGGTTTATTGTATAAATTGAACAAAAGCATGTAAAGATAAAAAGATAAATTTTAATTTTGTTATTATATTGCTATACATGTATATCGCGACATATTTACAATTATCCTCACCCTCTGTACGTGTAGTATTAAGATTTTCTTGCAATCTAAAGGATCATCATTTATGGAATAATTTTTTCATATTTAAATTGAATTCTTCGTCTTACATATACGCTATGAAATAAATTGATTGCTTTTATAATCACCTTAAATCAATGAGAAATTATTTCCTCATGAGCATTGGTTGATGTTTTCGCAAACTTTCAGCTACTCGAGTAAAGTGATCAGCGAGTTTGATTGTATCCTTTGCAATCGCATATTGACATCTTAAGGCGTCTTTGCTAGTCGATCGAGGATGATATTCTGCTGCAATATTCGCCATTGTTCTAAGTGATGCGCCGTAAGAACTAATAGTACCAAACATAACTGTATATAAATACAATGGAGAACTAATAAGGTAAATATTGTAATATTGTTAGAAAGATTGTTTCGTTTCGAGATTACAATGATATCGACATAACATTTGTTTACCCCTTGTCAGCCTCTCTTTGACAGAGACTTCGTAGTTCATCTTCCGGTACACTACATTCACCATCAGACAGAAACATAATCACGTTGGTTCTAATTACAAAAAATAAAATTGTTAGTCAATATTACATCAATAAGTTCTAATGAAATGCGTACTTTTTTTGATCAAAGTATTTGTCAATAACTTCAGCTGCTTTTTTAATTCCATCACGATAAGAAGTACATCCAGCTGGGGTGAATTTTATCATCTTGTTTAAAAGCCCATCTGTATCAGATAATCCACTATTTTCAAAAACGATAGTTGCCGTGGTCTCAAACAAAACCAGGGAAGCAATATCCTTATCCACAGCTGATTGTCCAACACGAGTAGCTTTTCGAGAGTTTTTGCGCGTTTCAATAAAATTATATACTACGTCATAGACAGCGCCTAATCGATTGTTATGACTATGCTTCAAACGAGATGTCTGTGTTTTACTACAAAGAGGCTTGCAATCATCAGTTATCATAGAGTAACTTCTATCCACGACGAATACAATATGGAAATCGCCAACATTATTCGCAGGGTCTTCGCAAGAAAAATGGTGACCGTCTATTGATATATATCCAACATTTCCTGGCGGATTTGAAGTTGGATCTAATTTCGGATGAAACAGTTCCTGAGTACAGAATGATCTTACTGGGTCGTTTCCATCATTACAATTGTGATGTTTTTCGTCAATGCATTCATGATCACATTTTTTAAAAATTTCGAGGCTGTCTTTATATGGGTCTATGTTCGTACATTCGAATGTTATATAATAATATAATCAGAGATGAAATTCAATGCGCAAAGGACACTATTATCAATTACCTCGGAATTTAGTTCTTTCCCAGAAAACACGGTGTGATATATAGTCTTTCTTGCGATTCGGATCGGGCCTTAATTTTGCTAAAATTCACATGCATATTTAATACAATAGGATAAAAGGGAAAATTTTAATCAAACTAACCCGTTATGTGATCTAATATCCCTTCTTTTCTTCCATCAGCGAGACTTCTGCAAACAGTCGGATCTATGCAATAATCTATATGACGATGACGACCTTCATTTTCACAAAGCTAAAAGGTTTGAATTACGTTAATATTGATTTTTTTATCATTGAAAATTCTCCAATATATACATACTTTATGGCATAATACAAAATCGCCTCTATCGCCGACATTTAATCGGTGTCCTAAACAATTTGCTATTTTTAATATATGTATTGTTTTCATTAGCAGAGAAGTCAAATGTTACCTTCAAATTCGAATTCATCTTCTTCACACGTGAATGATGTCAAATACATATTTCCGTGAGCAGTCTCTGAAAAATTATTTAAATCAGTTAAGCATAAAACAATCAAATTCGTGACTTTTTTTTACCGTGTTCGCCATTATGTTCATAAGGTGATGTACACTAGATAAAACCTGATTAGTAAAAAAAAATAAAATACAATTTCAAATCGAACCTACATAATAATTGCAATTTGGGCATCGAACGTCGCAAAAATGAAAGTTTAGCTTTTTATTTTCTTCAATAACATGTTTGCCTGAATCGTTTGGACAGGTTGCATCACATTCGTGTAATTTCTCGTGCACATGTTTTCCTTCATGCTGGAATTCATATGGAGGTATCTTGATGCAACAAGAAAGTCTTTGGAAAGTTTGGGAATACTAAATTATATTAAAGTGATACTTTAATATGCCATTATTTATTGTAAAAGAGCTCAATAAAAAAAGAATTGCGACTTTTTTTACCTTGGTAAACATGAATTTTTCAAATTTATTCACATATTCTACTTCTTCTTTAGATGGCTCGAGGACAACTTTACAAATTCCCAATTCTTCACATTCATCGGGACACTGATGTTCTTCACTAAAATTTTTATTCTATAAATTAATACTTAATAAAGAGAATATTGAATGACATCATATTACAGACCCGCAAAAATGATTCACATTTCCCTCGAATGCATGGAAATGATTTTTACTTTCACATCTTCGACGACACTTTTTTATTGGACATTCGATTGGACAAACTTCATTCTCACATTTGTGTACATCATGAGATTCTTCACAAGGGATCTATTAAAAAGTTAAAAGATTAATATGACATTACGACAACATACATTCGGGAGAAGAGCCAACTTACTATGCACGTATTATGACATTTATAATTTCCTTTTTGGGTGTCAGTCTCTAATGAACAAGGAGCACCGCAGTAATGACGGGTTGACTCGCACAAATGAATCTCATTTCCTGATATATTTTCATGGTCAATATCTTTTGTACAATTTGACTGACAATTCCTCTTTCCACTATATATACAAGGTTGCCCGCATGAATGACTTGCTGAACAAGAGTGATATCCTTCATGTCCAGCAAATTTTATACATTTTGGCGCAACTTCGCCAGAATGGGTGTCTTTAAATTGGCAAACTGAATGACATTCATGATCAGTCAAACAGTCGTGTTTCGTATCATCTCTATTATCATTATGTCGACTTGCTTTAAGACATGCGAGTCCACAATTCTCACACTGTAAACGACAGAAATTCCAAAATAATTTGAGACGAGTAATTTCTTGTTCTAGAGCATATTTGGTGATTATTATTTCATTATTGTCGTTTGGAAATTGAGAAGTGCTCTGGGAAAACCACTGTTGTACCCGATCAACGCGTCGGTCAATGATAAGCTTACAAAAAGCCTCTAAACGATCAAACCATTGAGAGTCGGACGATTGATCACGCGCTTGAATTTTTTCTTCAAAGAAATTTCTTAATCCTAGTACATGTAGAAAATTAGTGTTAGCATAGATATTTAACTCAAATTTGCTTTTTGTTTGATGAAATAGAATACATGCCTAATGAAAGATCGATAAGATTCATATCATCTTTTAATAAAACAAGACCAGCATCAGGCATTAATTCAACTGGCTCGTCAAAAGGATCTAAAAATGTTAGCTCAGGATCGGGTATCGATTTTCCATCATCTCGTCCCTAATAAAATAGTTAACTATTTGCTACAATGACAAAATCAACTTTATATAACTTACCATTAAATGTTTTATGACATAGGCTGGTTGCGCTGGATTTTCAGACGACAAAAATGGATCTTCTTCTTTTTGCTCATAGCCAAGAGATATCGCATCTTGCATAAATTTTTTCAATTCCAGAGTACGCATTGTAATCAATGTTCCTTGTACACTACCCCAATCACAAACTCTATAAAAGATTTAAACGTATTAACTTCAGTTAAAACATTAACATTGAAGAATTAAAAAAATAATACATTACTTTAGTTTCGTCATTAAAACCTAATTAAGAGAAGCTTGTTTGAGTTTTAAATTATATAGAAAAATATTACATGTATTCCATACCTTTGCTTTCTCTACAAATATTTTCGCGTTATTATATTTAGAATCTTGTCCGTCTAATTTAGTTTTTAATTGTTTGAAATTATTATAAAAGTCCGGTTTGTTGAAAAGAGGCCAAGGCATAATGCTCATCTTGTTTCGATAAAGTTTTGTAATAAAGTTATCTTGTTCTTCCTGTAGTTCAATTATTAAGTGAGAAAATTCTAATCTTTCTATAATATTTAGGTTATTGAAAACTCACTCTATCGACTATTCTCGAAAACTTTGACTGGAATTCCGAAATAATATCTTTGCGATCGGATTTGGCTACATCTTTGATTATAATGCAAAACCTTGCCTTTAAAATAAAACAGAATATTAATAATAAATTTATTTTATTTAGCAA